ATATAAATGTATGCTTGATATAGTGTTTAGCATTAAAATGTAAGAAGAATTAATGTGTTACTTGGCCTGCACCTGAGAAGATACTTATCAATCAATATTATTGTTACCCTTCACTAATATATCTCTCCATGTATATATATATGTAATAATGTTGTTCTATAGAAGAGAAAAGAAAGCTACCAAGATAGTTCAAGTAAGTGGTTTTTAAACTCCAGCAATCATAGTTAATAATATTCACATCTGTTAGCTACTTCCAGATGGCATATTCTAATGATGCAATAATGAATGAATGAATGAATAAAAAAGTGAATGAAGGGACTGACTTTGAATATTAAGAGATATTACTATAACTATTCTTTGGATAACACTATCATTTAGAGTACAATATTTGCTAATGGTTAAAAACATCATTATAATTTGGGAAAAGAATTAATCTACACTATTTTTTCAAACTAAAGCTTGAATAAAATAAAATAGATCTAGCAGAAGAGAGCAGGACAGTAAACTCTTCTACTTACTTAATTAAATAAAAAACTCAAAGTAGGCCATCCAATGAGAGAACGCCTAATCTACCCAGCCCCTATCCATTCTCTGAGTGTATTATAAAGTTAGTTAATTAAATTGAAGACACAAGGGAGAAGTTAGTAAAAGAGTTGGCACCATAATAGTTCATATACTACTTGAGAAACAAAAGCTATAAAAATTTACATATGAGCTAGTAGAATATGAAGAGGAAAAGACAGATGCTATCAACTTGGGTGCATATAATCATATTATTGAATTATGAAAAACCCTCCCCCATCCTACCAAGACATTATTCACTGGAATTCTCTCTTGGGTATAAGCAACTTGCTTTAAAATGCAATTTAGAGCTAGTCCAATAAAAATGACAGTTTAAATGCATTTTCCTTTTGCTATAAGTTGACTTAGGAACCATTTCATATTCCTGAACTCCAGATTTAGACAAACATATTTTTCAGATTCTTCTCAGATATTTTATCTTTTCAGGGGTCTAACAAGTCACTTTCATACTAAAGACACAGTGTTCATTGTCTTCTGTTGCTATTGATTGCCAGTTCTAGGGCTTTTGTCTATTACCTCCACTCCCTAGTATACAATTATGGATGCAGATAATTATGTTTCTAAAGAGAGGCACAGTGCTGTTAGAATTAAAGGAAATGATTTGTGTAAATTGCTAAGTGTAGAAATGTGCACATGCCTCAATTTAGGCTAGTCCCAATTCAAATTCTCTAGGGCACCTTTAGTGGCATCAAGATATGTATTATTCCTCTACATGACCAAATACAAACTCCAAAGCTGAAAAAGAAATATTTAGAGAAAGATCAAATTCATCAATAAAAAGAATGTATAGGATTTGGGTGTTTAATATTGGGACAGTATTAAAGTTATTAAGAATCTAATTATTCAATAACCAAATACAGTTTCACAATGACATTAATATAAATTTACCCCCCAAAAACTGTCCCTGCCAATAACAGGAACATACCTAAACATAATAAAAGCAACATACAGCAAACCCACACACCTGTGAACATCTGATTTTTGACAAAGAAGCTAAAATTATACAATGAAAAAAGAAAGCAAGTCTAACAAATGGTGCTGGCATAACAGGATACTGACTAGTAGAAGATTGCAGATAGATCCATATCTACTGCCATACATAAAACTTAAATCCAAATGGATCAAACACTTCACCAAAAATCCAGCCACACTGGACCTCTTAGAAGAGAAAATGGGAGGTACCCTTGAAAAACTGGCACAGGAGACAGCTTCCTGAACATAACACAAGTAGCACAGACACTGAGATCGACAATAAATTGGACCTCCTGAAACTGAGAAGCTACTATAAGGCAAAGGACACAGTCAACAAGACAAAACGGCAGCCCACAGAATGGAAAAAGATCTTCACCAACCTCACATTTGACAGAGGGCTGATTTCCAAAATATACAAAGAACGCAAGAAGTGAGTCACCAAAACACCAAATAATCCAATTAAAAATAGGGAACAGAACTAAATAGAGAATTCTCAATAGAAAAATCCAAAGTGGCTGAAAGACACTTAAACTGCTCAACATCCTTAGCCATCAGGGAAATGCAAATCAAAACAACTCTGAGATACCATCTTGTTGTCAGAATGTGTACAGTCAAACACACCAATGAAAGTTTATGCTGGAGAGGATGTAGAGAAGGGGAACATTCTGGTGCAAACTGGTATAGCCACACTGGAAATCAGTATGGCAGTTCCTTAGGAAAATGGGAATTTGTCTACTCAAGATCCAGTAATTCACCTCTTAGTCATATACCCAAAAGATGCATATTCACACAGGGACATCTGTTCAACTATGTTCATAGCAGCATTATTTGTAATAGCCAGAACCTGAAAGCAACCTAGATTCCCCTCAACTGAAGAATCCATAGAGAAAATGTGGTACATTTACACAATGGAGTACCACTCAATGTTAAAAAATAATGGAATGTTGAATTTCACAGGCAAATGGTTGGAACTAGAAGAACCTCACACAGGTTGGAACAACTTGTGTGAGGTAACCCAGTCACAAAAAGACAAACATGGTATTTGCTCACTCATATATGGGTGTTAGACATAGAGCAAAAGATTACCATATCACCAGAAAAGCTGGGAAACAAAGAGGACCCTAAGAGAGACATACATGGTCCCTTGGGGAAGGGGAAAGGAACAAGATCTCCTGAACAATTTGCCGAGCATGGGGAGAAGGAGTTAGGTGAAAAAGAATAGGAGACCAGGAGGGGAGGGGAGGACATGAGGGAGCAGGAAGACTGAGTCAGGGAAAGTATGGAGGAGAATAAGAAAAGAGATACCACAGTAGAGGGGAGCCACTATAGGTTTTAAGAGAAATCTGGCACTAGGGAAATATCCAGAGGTCTACAAGGATGACACCAACTAACAATCTAAGCAATAGTGGAGAGGCTTCCTTAAATGCCCTTCCCCAATAATGAGATTGATGAATACCTTATATGCCATCCTAGAGCCTTCATATAGTAGCCCATAGAAGCAGAAGCAGGCATCCACAGCTAAATACTGAGCCAACTTCCTGGAATCCAGTTGCAGAGAGGGAGGAGTGATGAGCAAAGGGATCAAGTCCAGGCTGGAGAAACCCACAGAAACAGCTGGCCTACAGAAGGTGGAGCTCATGGACACCAGACTGATAGCTGGTAAACCAGCATAGGATGGACTCAGACCCCCTTTAATGTGGGTGTTAGTTAGGAGAGCTGAACAGTCTATGGGCCCTTTTGTAGTAGATCAGTATTTATCCCTAGTGTAGGAATGGGCTTTGGGAGCCCATTCCACATAGATGGATACTCTCTCAGCCTGCATACATGGGGGTGGGTCTAAGCCCTGTTCCCTATGATGTGACAGACTTTGAAGATTCTCCATGGATGGCCTACCCTCCTTTGGGAACAGGAAGTAGATTGGATAGGGGGTCATGTGGTCAGGGTAATTGGAGAGGGAGAAGGAACTGTGATTGACATGTAAAACAGGACTGTTACTTAAAAATATATAGAAGAAAAAATTAAAGAAAAAAATAACCTGTCTCTGCCACATCCTATTAATCATTTTTCTATAACTATCTGTCATGCATAGCCTAAACAATAAAGTAAATACCACTATCTTTGGGGGGGTGTATTTTGTATTCATATTTATATGTATTAGTGCTTCCCAAAGTTTGCTGCACAAGATTAGAAAAGCTAACAACTATTTCGTTCTCTTAATTTTATGTCAGAAATAATTCATCTACCTTTTAAAAACACATAACTTATTATGGAGTTATTAAGTTATAAATGCTCTCCCAGGAAAATTCACCAAGTGAAATACATTTAAATTCCAGTCAGATAAGAAAAGAAGGCTGATATAAAATTGTAGTTGATATCAACACTACATTTTCTTCTATAATATAGATGAAATGTTCCTCATTAATTGAAAGTTGCATACTCAGTCATAAACCATTGTAATATTTATTCTGCCCAATAACAATGTATAGGACACCTAAACCACCCATCCTCTGTGAGAGACTCCAAAGATATCAAAACAAATTGAAGAGATATGGCCATTTGTGTTCTCAGAGCTTAGCATCTAGATATCTGGGAAGAAATTGCAAATTTGAATTAATATACTGGACTAGTGGCATGAAATGTCACAAGATGCCAACAAGGTATAAATGCTCTGATTCTGAACAGAGGTCTCAAGTAGGCTTCTAGGGCTGGGGTGGAGTAAAGTAGGTCTTTTTCTGAAAGCAAAAGTCAATATAGAACAGTAAAAGAACTGCATGACTAAAAAGGATGGTTGTTGGCCACTCTCTTGTACCCTACAAAGATGAAGAATGATGTAGTTATGTATTCACTAGCATATCTGGGTTTATAATGAATGAGAGACTGCAAAATGCACATTATACTTCACTTGCTTCATCTCAGGTTTTGGTTTTCAGCATGCTGAGCCTGTGGAAATACTGCAAGTTTATCATAAAGCCTATGCATCTATATTTAAAATTGTAATGTATACATTGGTGGAATGTGTCTCCTGACCACTACTTTTATTAATTTGAGACAACAAGCCACATGTGCGTATTTGGAACTGACTAATGAAAACATTTGTTTGCAGTTTAATTTCTTCCCAGGCTTCATTAGTATTATAATACCAGGACTGGTAGACAGTTAAGACTCATACCATCCATTAAGATGCCCTGCATATATAATAGCACATGCAATAATTTCTATGTAAAGGGATGGATTTGTGACACATGACTGTTTGAGAGAAAGGCATTTCAGGAGGTGTTTATTAATTAGCATCAAAACAGTAACTCAAACGAGTATGTGGGTATTTATATGAACTGCACTCCATTCGGAAGGGCTGTTAAAAATTGGGACATCTGGTTTTAAATTATCAGGTTATCTGGAATAGTCCTAAATTACCATCTTACTTTATACCCTTTAGTGAAACTTACTTTCATCTCCTGTTTCAAATTCAAACTTCTGACTGTAGCCACTGTATCCTGTCGCAGTCCTCACTCGGATATGAAATATGTACTTGGTGGATGGCTTGAGACCTGTGATGATGACACTGGGGGCCTTGGACCTCGTGGAAGAATAGGTGAGCTGCTCATGCTCCTAGGGACAGAAAAAAGGAGAAAGGAAATGAGGCGGTGTGACCCTACTGTTTCCTAGAGACAGTCCCCAGTAAAACTGAGGTCTGAGGCTCTATTAAAAATACTGATTTGAAAGAAATGTAATTACGATTTTCCACGTTAGCATTTAGTTGATCAGCTGTGTGTGTGTGTGTGTGTGTGTGTGTGTGTGTGTGTGTGTGTGGTGTGTGTATGTGTTTGATATGTCTCTGATTTGGAAATTTATCAATAGAATGCTTACTTGTATTTAATTACACTTGGACTATAGGTGACTTTAGACTTTGGTTGTGACTTGGGGAATAGTGGTGATCTGAGGCCATTTTCACATAGAATAGCAGGTTCTTCACCAAAATGAACAAACTGGATTAGACACATTAGCACTAGTGTGGGGAATCATGAATCTTCTACACATCACTTTCACCCACAGGCAGCAAGAGCCAAAATGCCAGGTTTGAAATCTCTATGTAGAAATCACTTGCATTGATCTATAACCCTGATGCCGTAGACTTTTATCATTAATATATGAAATTTAAGAATTAAAATGATGTGATTTTTTCCCCCTTGAGATTCCAGAGTTCATTTTTAGATAAGTGCAAGCTTCATAGTGATGCTGAGATCAGCTTCAAAATATAGGGACAAAAGAAAGGTAGGGATGACTAAAACGCCTGTGAAATCATAGACAGGTCTGGAGGGAGGCTTGTCTCCGTTTCCGGAGTTGTGTGTTTAATATGTCACTCCACTAAGGTGAAATGGACTTACTTTGCACTCTGAAGGACCAGGTGAGTCCAGGATGGTCATGTGGCCTCTCTGCTCTTCTGTGAGAACAGAATTCTCTACCTGTCTTTGTAAGGGATATTTAACAAGACCGTGATGGTGAGGGATGATCTAAATTATTGTTTGGGGTTTATAAAGCTTTCCTCTAAGACTTGTAATTTAATAAGACAGCCAAAAACTTCTCTGTTCCGAGAGTCTGCAGTCTGCAATGATTCTTAACCCGAACTGATCAGACGCTGACATGATGTCTCAAGTAAACAGTCCCATGCCTGATTTCATATGGTATGCCACTGTCAGGATGCTGGGACATTGGAAGTATTGCATCAAATTGCTTTCAGGCTATGCATGTAAGAAGTTTAAATGGATTTGGTGCTTAGAATTGGGTACCATCCACAAGCTACCTCATGTATATGCAAATATCCCAAGACTGAAAAGAAATTCCAGATCTGAAATACCCAAGACTATTATATAAGGGAGAGTCAATCTATATTTGAGCAAACAAAATTTCTCAATGCGCAGATCAATGTAGGCCAACAGTCCCCAAAGTGAATCTAGTCTAAATGTAAAAATCTTGAGGAAGACAGGAGCCTTCGGTTCTCTAATTGAATGACTCATTTGGTCCTTAATCATATCTGTATTATCAGGATCTCATTTTTGGTTTTCCTGGTAACTGCTTTTTTTTTTTTTTTTTTTTTTTTTTAAAAAGAGGATTTCTAAACTAAGAAAAGATTGTAAAAATCTACAGATCTCCACATACAGAGGATGTGTCAAAGTTCCATTTACTTGAGTGTGATGACTTAAGATTTAGAACTATAGCAATGATTTCATTTATACTGTCCTGGAGGAAAATGTTCTTAATAGAAGGGTTATTAAAAAATGTTATGGCCTTATTTTCCAGAACTTCACACACACACACACACACACACACACACATATATATATATCATATGGTAATTCGGTGTTTGAATCAAGGAATCAAATTTTCCATCTCTATCTCAAGTAATAAAAATTAATCACAGAATAACTAAACTATAGCATTATTGGAAGTAATAAAACACAAAAATTGGGATTATACACATATACTCACACACATATGCAATTTTGAGAGTAGGAAGAAAATAGAAATCTATGCAAGGAAACAAAACTGGGTCTATAAATATTGATGGTGATAATCACCTGCTGGGAATTGAAAGCAGGAGTCGGCTGGTGTCAAGACACTTGCAATCAGGGGTTTAAAAAGTCCATAACATAGAGAAATAGAAATATGCTTGCCAACCATATTGTCTCACGTAGAAATTTGCCTATCATTCAGAATTTTCAATCTAGTGTGCAAGAGAAAAAAACAGTCCACCTTTGATATAATTTCCTGCAATCCATAAGTTAGATTGTATCTTGAAGGCTGCCTTACCATATGAAATGATGACTACAGGAAGATTTGTAGGGCAATGAAAAAGAATTTAGTCTTATCCCCAAGACAGATGGTATGGAGTGTTAAGTTTACTCTTTTAAACACAGCCTAACAATTATATACTGCCTTTGTTGCTTCGTGAAAACATAGCTAAACAGTAATTTCCTACTTAGTAAGTTACAGAGTCAAGGATCCCTACTGCAGGCAGTTTTCAGATTTGCAGGAAATGTTTGTCTTTATATCTCTGGAATAAAAAAAAAATCTTCAGGAAGTGTGCTTAAACATACCCAACTCATCACCATCTGCGTGTCGGATGATCTTTCTCATTTCCTGCCACTTACTAGCTCCTAGCAGAGCAGAGCTCATGAAGTAGACTTTTCCTCTTGGCACTTTCAGACTCAGACAAAACCAAGTTAGCTTTCATCTACTACAAGTGTAGGATGTTATTGTGTCAGGACATCAGCTAATAGCTCTTTTGCTGGCATATAAGTTCCAAGTCTAAACAGTTGTCACAAGGTAGAGAACATACCTCGCAAGGGATTGTTATATCCCTTGCTTATTCTTGCAGGATGAATTGTGAATATGTTTGAGTGCAGCATTTGCATGTGCTTTTCTAGAGTGGCTCTATAGTTTCAAACCATACTAGAACTGCTAGTTGTGTGTCATGACTGCTGTTAACTCTGCTAAGAATTCGATTTCATGGTTCCCAAACCTACATTTTTTTTCATGTTTATTCTGTAGTAAAATCCCCTGGTCATTCTTTTCCTTTTTCAAGTTATGATTGTGATTTGCTACTTTTTTCCTTTTTATTGAAGACATATTTTTGTTCTCATATACATATCCTAATTATGGCTTCCCCTTATTCTTCTCCCCCTACTTCTCCCCCAACTTCCCTCCCATCCAGATTCACCTGTTCTGTCTCTCAATAGAAAGCTAACAGAATTCTAAGGGATAATAATAAAAGAAAATATAATATAATATGATAAAACAAAAACTAACAAATCAGTATTGGACAAAACAAACAAACAGAAGGAAAAGAGCCCAAGAAAAGGCAAAAGAAATATATATGGGTGCAGAATCCCACTTGCTCAAAAATCCCATAAAAACATTAAACTGGAAGTCATAATATATGTGCAAAGGACCTGTTAGGGTAAAAAGAGAGAAAAAATATAAGTTAAATTATAAAATAAGATAAAATTTAGAACTGTGTGTGGGAATCCATGTCATGATATTGTGAGACTGCAGGGTCCACAATATTTCAAAGACCCTTTTTCTTCTACTGCATGAAACCTGTCCCATATTCTTTGCAGTTGTGAGAAGAACCCTTGGTTAAAATGATCCCAGCAGTGTCAGGAGCTGTGTCATTATAACCACAGATTTGTGTAAACAAGCTTTTGTACACACCCGCCCACTTGTTTGTACAAACTCCTTTTTTAAAAAATCACAAATTGTACTAGTTGTAAAATATTATAAATTCCCAAAATGTACTATCACATGAGATTTAACCTCAAGTTGCAAAAATTCTTTTCTCATATTACCCCTGATCCCCCTACTTGTGACTTTTGCTTGGAAAAGGACTTACTCCCATCTGGGAGGTAGTGGTGCATGCTGCCAATCCAAGCACTCAGGAGGCAGAGGCAGGTGGAACTCTGTGAGTTCAAGGCCAGTCTGGACAACAGAGTGAGTTCCAGGACAGTCTGGGCTGTTATGTAGAGAAACTCTGCATGAAAACAAAACAAAAACAAGAAAAGAAGTGTGTGTGTGTGTGTGTGTGTGTGTGTGTGTGTGTGTGTGTGTGTGTGTTTATACTTACTTTCCCTGTTTGGGGTCACTGTTTCAGAACTTAACTAGTTAGAATTCTGGTACACTATGGTGATGGACTAAAAAGTTGCCTCTGCTCATCAAACTTTGATGAGCTTATCCTCAGAATTGCTGCAACTCTTAGATCCAGCAGAACTCACAAAAATGCCCTTCAGTTCATTTTTCTGTTGGCCATCTACTGTTAGGCGCAGCTTGCCCTAAAGAGAAGTTTTTCTCTTCAGTGAGACTTCCTTGGAAGAAACAAAGTTATTATTTGAAAAAGGTTATCAGTTGGAGAGAGCTTCTGGGTTAGGGATGGGGGTATGTGTCCAGGTCCACAAATGGATGCAGGCCCTGTGCATGCTACCACAGTCCTAGTGGAGTCATCTGTTTAGGGCTTAGTTTGAACATCTCTCAGTCTGTGTCATGTCTGGCTGTGGCCCTCTATATCAGTTCCCATCCGTGGCAGGAGGAATTTTCTGTAATGATGGCTGCATGTCACTGATCTGTGAATACAGTAAATATTACTAAGGGCCATTTTATTACTATATTTTTCTGTTTGCTTTTGTAACAGTAGTATTTGGTTTTACCTTAGGTCCCTGGGCTATCTTTTTCAGGTTCTTGGTCAGCTGAGTGACCAAGACTCAGCAATGCTGAGTATGGGTGCCATTTCATGGGGTGGGCATTTAAGTCAAATCAGAGATTGGTTGGTTACTCACACAGGCTTTGCGCTACCATTCCAGATACTCTTAGTGTTGCTTTTTATAATTTCCAGAGATTTGAAGTAACCTGAGCTGTGTTTCTCACTCAATTTTGCATTCTTTCCTATACCATTTAATATCTGCTTATACTATGAATAATTATCTTGCCTCTATCTACTTTTTTTGTTAATTGTGTTGTCTTCTAACTTGTTTCAAGTTTAACTTTTTAACTATCAGTACATACTTTAAATATATACATATATACATATACACATACATACTTTTTAAAAACCAATTTCA